CGAGCGGACCTGATGCTGCGGCGCGCGCGGGGACGAGCGAAGTGGGGCGCGGGACGGCGGGAGCGCGCAGGCGCGGTCACCCACGTGCGGCGGAGGCTGCCTCCGGGTCGGGGAGACAACCGCGCGCGCAGATGTTTCTGGGGGCGGCCGGGCTTTGTCCCGGAGGGTGCGCGTCCACCGCCTCTGTCCGGCCCGGGGCGCACTCTGGAGCGGGAACCCGGGCTGCGCCGGGCCGGCCTCACCCGCGGACAGGGACAGGCGGCTCCAGCATCGCGGCCCCGGGGCGGAGAAGCCCTGCCGGGTCCTCAGGTGCAGCGGCCGCCACGTGCGCGCGGGGGGTGGAGTTCAGACCCGGCACCGGCACGCTTCCGTCGGGAGACGTTTTAAGCTCTGTAGTTTTCCACAGTAGTGGAAACCAGCGCTCTACCTCCGCTCTCTGCCCCGCACTGAGGTTTCTTCCGCCGGGCAGCCGGGGGTGCGCGGACTTCAGGAGAGAGCACCTGCGCTTTAGCCTCCTGATGCTCCTTCGTATTCATAGGGAAGACAGCAGGAGCTTTTCCCGAGCGCGTGGAGGGTGCCAGCTCTGTGCCTACTGCTTTGGGCACCATCTCGGTAACCCTCCCAGGAGCTGGGCAGGGGGCAGCTTTTCACACAGAGGACCAGGCAGGGGCCCCGGTTTGCCCAAGAGCACAGCTGGAGTCCTGCCGGCCACAGACCCCATGTGGACTCTGAGTCCTTCTCCCACTCTCTTCCCAAGAAGACAGGAGGAGACCCGAGGCCTGAGACCCTAAGCCGTGTCCCAGGACAGCCCCACAGTGGAAGGGACAAGACGTTTGGCCAGGACCGTCGGTGGCCGTCAGAGGAAGGGTGGCTCCCCAGGAAGTGGGTTGCACAGCCCAGTTTCTCCTGTGCTGCAGACAGGGACACGGCACGGGCCTCTTGGTGGGAGCCTTGTGGCGCCCAGGACCCAGCTTGTCCTGACTGCCCCGTGGCAAGACTCGTCCTGCTTCCCACACTGCAAGGCCGCAGGTACTGCCTGGGAAGTTCTTCACGGGCTGCTGCCTTCCAGGTGGCTCACTGGGAGTGGCTGTAGAAGCAGGTACTGGGCAAGTCCCAGCCAGATCCCTCGTACCACCGGAGGGGCAGGGCGGGCATGGTGGGAACGGAGAAGAGTGAGCAGCAGAGCAAGCGCCTGGGCCTGGCTCCACGGCCAGGGCTGCCCTTGGGCCCCAGGTCTGTCTCACTTGCTGTGCAAAGGCTTTGCACCCCACTGTGAAATGAAAGGTAACGCATGGAGCGTAGCCTGGACCTGCGGCGTCCTTGATCTGCAAATCCCAGGTTGGTACTGCTGAGGCTGTGTGATTTCATGGGTTTGTGGACCAAAACCTGAACAAAGTGGATCCCTGAGCTCTCCCCAGGGGTTGACCACGAGTGGGCCGAGATGAGCCCCTGGGGGCCTTGTTGATCCTGGTGCTGGTGGACAGAGGGGCAGGGAAGCTACGCCCAGCGAAGCTGCTCCCTCCGTGGCTGCATCCAGTGCGGTGTGGACAGGGCCACATAAACACTCACCCAAGCCACATGACCTCCTCATTCTCCAGAGTGCCGGAGACTGGCGCCCGTGCTGGCCTTGGAAGGGAAGCTGTGCTAGACGGTCCTTAGAGCTCGCGTACTGCTGGGCCCTGCGTCTCTGGGCACAGATCTGGCCTTGGCGGGTTCTGGCGAGCATGAGAGCCGACAGTGGGGGCGGAACCTGTTCTGGACAGTCGGGAGTAATCAGACAGCGGCAGGCCCTGCCTCTCAAGCAGGGAGGCACACTAGTGGCTCATGGGTCTGGTCACCAAGGCTCTGTGAGACTCGGAGGAGCCTGGAGACCCTACTGTGCAGAGAGGGAGGAAGTGGACCTTGCTGCCTGCCTGCTGGACCTGTGGCTGTGTCCTCCCGTAGGCCGCAGCAGAGGAGGGGCCAGGGCAGGGCAGTGTGGTCTGGTGGCTTCCCCTGTGCCGTCGTTGCTTGGCCTGCAGCCTGCTGTCCTCAGTGCTGGGACCTTGGCCTCCCCAACACCCCTCGCTTCCCCTGGGTAGCCACAGTGCAGTGCCTCCTTCCTGCCACTGTTCACAAAATTAGAATCTTGGGCCATGTTTCTGGAGGCGGGTGGATGCTTTTTCTGAAGCTTTCTTACACTGAGCTACATCTGTGGATCTCTTTATTCTCAGACAGGATTTCACTAAGTTAGAGTTGCCCAGGCTGGGCTTCAATTTATGATCCTCCTGCCTCAGCCTCCCAGAGTGCTGGGATTGTAGGAGTGTACCACAATCCTGGTTGAGTGGGTGCTTTTCAAAACCAGATGCTTTTTTCAGAGGTACTCAGAGTGGCTCAGTCACTGAGAATCAGGTGCTGGGGGTGGGGGTGGGGGGCTTGCTGTCACTGCAGGGCTTCACTTGTCAGAACCAGAGAGCCCCATCCCAGGGACTGGGGTTTCCACCCATCCTCTTCCCAGGCCAGCCTGGGCTCTACCTGGGCACCCCTCTCGCCCAGCCAGGCTGCCTTTTCTCTGCGTTTTCATCTGGCCAGCTTTGGGGTACGAAGGCAGGGAAACCTACGGGTGCTGTTGCAGTGCTTCCCCACGTGCGAGAAACCCTGGGTGATGACCACACTTACAGATTCACTCGCCCACGACCAGGGCTGCCACAGGAGCCCGGCTCAGGGCAGAGCACATCGCCTTGTCCCAGCTGTCACACGGGCTGAGGGCGGGTGTGGGGAGTTGTGAGGGCTCAGATGTGCGAAGCTGGGGGGCGGGTCGACATTGACCCTGCAGGGCCACGCTTCTCATGAGCCCCAGTGGTGCCCGGACCCATGGTTTCGAAAGCTAGATCCTTTACCTCGTAGCATTGTGCCATGTTGCAGTGGGGAAACTGAGGCTCAGAGAGGCCCGTGATCTACATGAGGTTTCAAGCCCTTGCGTAGGCTGGGCACAGCCTCCGCCCGACCTCTGCGCTGCTTGGATCTGCCTTGAACGGTGGGGAGGGCTTCCCACTCCCCAGAGAGAACCTGATGAGTTGAGGAGGAAATGCCGAGCCTCCCTGGCGCACCCGCCTCCGCACCCTGGCTCCCGGCTCTGCCTGCAGGCTGTCCACAGATGCTCCGGGAGGGACCCCGTGCCCAGGATCTCTTCAGATCTTTCTGTGCAGGTCTCCATGCAAAGCAGCCGGCTTCCTGGGCCTCACCCGTGTGTGGTCACCAGGCATGCAAACTGCGCTGTGCTAGGGGCCATGGTGGCCCGCGGTCCTGCCTCCAGTGCCTGCTCTGTAAGCTGTGAAAGCGTCCTGCACTCACCCTTCAGAACAGATTTAGGAGAGGAGGAAAGAGTCCGGTTCCTCGGGCGGTGGGCTACTTACTGGGGTGGGGCTGCGGGAGAACCCCAAGGGGCACCGGCTGCGAGTGTTTGGCTGTGGCCAGTGGCCTCAGAGCAGTAAGGGGAGAGCATGGCTTTGCCTCCTCCATGTCCTGGCTGGAGTTAGGGAGAAATGAGGCCTGTGAGTCTTCCCCGGCTGCCGAGGTCCAAGTGGGGTCTCGGAACCAGGCCTGTGAGCATCGTGGAACACGGAGCGGCATTCAGCTCCAGGCCTCCCTGTCAAAAACCGGGTTAAATAACTCTAAGTTATTGCCGGATGATCAGGCCTGCAATCTCCCAAGTGAGTGGACTTCGAAGGATTAAATAAAATGCAGACAATATTATGATTTTAGGGCACCAGGAGGGACTAACTCTCTTACAGCTTCATTATTCTCTGAGTTAGCCAAAGGCTGCTCTGGGCGGCCCGTATTTATTAGGTTTTCAAACAAAGGGAGAGGAGGCTCAAGAAAACTCGGGAATCTCGAAGGACCTTGGGAGAATTTTCCCAAGTAGTAAATTATGTCAATCAGGAGAAATACCTTATCTTTAGGTTGGTATTTATTGTAGGAGTGTGGGGCCTGTAGCTGCAGTCTCCTGGTAGTTAATTGGGGTTGGAGCCAAACGTCTTCAGCTGTGGCCTTATCTTGTCAGAAAGGTGCCTAAGCTTCTGACAACTCACAAGTAAACAAGGAAAGCCACTTGGTTAATATTAAATCCTGCTCAGAGCCACTTTGTAGCGGTCCCCAACACCTCCCTGGGCACATCCCGCAGGGACCCAGGCAGCGAAGACCAGGGCCGGCCCCCAGGGCACCAGAGGTTAAGCTGTGCTCTTGGAAAGCCGTGTGCTCTGTGGTGGCCCTCCAGCTGGGAACTGAGTGAGTGCGGGTGCAGGAGGGAACTGGTCAGCAGACCAGCGCCCCGGCATTCAAAGAACACCGTGGTCGGCTCCTGCTTCCCACTTCTCGGCTCAGGAGGAGGAGGCGGCGGCGGCTGGCTGGGTTCTTCCCCAGAGCCACTGGCCAGATGCTCTGGGCAGACACAGCAAAGCCAGAGCTTGCTGCCGGCGAGATGCAGTGTTGGGGACCGGGAAGGGCGCTCTGGCCACGGCGGCCTCATACAATGACAGGCACGGGCATAACACACACGTGCACATGCATCCTCCCAGGAGCCCGGAGCAGGCGGCGTTTCAAGGAGTCTGAAGGCAGGAGAGCCACGGGGAGTGCGTTCCCACCGCCCCCACCTCTGTGCCAGCCAGGCCGTGGAGGCGGGTGCCGCCCGCCCACACCGGAGTCACCACTGCGCCCCCTCTGTGGGCTCATAGGGTGCCGAGTCCTGAGCGGCATCTCCGATGTCTGGTGCCTGTGACTCAGGTGAGGTGACACGGGCAGTCGGTCGTCAAGGCGGCTCTGGCTCTGGGCGTCACATGGCAGCAGACTGCAGGGCGGCTCCTCGAGGGCAGGAAGTGTAGGGTGGGGTTCGATGGCCCTGGGCATCCAGGCTAGGGTGTCTGTGGGCTGCCCACGAGGAGCGGAGACTGGGCATCAGAAGACAGTGCTTCCAAGCTGTGTCGCTGGTGAGGTCGCTGCAGCCTACTCCTTCATCCCCCAAATCAAGCTGATTTCACAGCGAACCATGGTAGTGAAGTTGGAGCTCCATGCCGCGTGGCCAGCGAGGCTCCCTGAGGTCCCTGCCCAGGTGGATGCCCACGTGGAGCGTCTTCAGGAGCAGGGCCTTCTTCCCTCCCACCTGCTCACAGAATGGTCAAGTAGATGCCAGCGCTCAGGCCACAAGCACAGAGACCTTGGTACACAGTCGGGGACTCTTGGGGAAGACGAGGAAAATGGGGCCACGCTTTGGCCGAGTCCCGCTTTCCCAGGGGTGGAAGAGACCGAGCACTGGATGGCCCTGCAGGGCTGGAGTTTCCCAGGTGCATCTGCGTGGTAGCACTTCAGCCTGGGGGCTGCCACTGGGGAGGGGAAGGGCAGCAGGGACAGGCCACGGCGGTGTGGATGTTCGCGCCGCAGTCCACATGCCGGTCGGCGTCAGCACTGTCAGAACCGGCCGGGTGGGGGCGGCTGATGGGTTCTTAGCACTGTCGCCTTGCCGGGCTCGTGGTAAACTTGCATTCGCGTGGCTAATACTTGAAGTAGAGTTTTAAATCGCTAACTTAAATGTAGATGATAAGTCTACTTTTAGGCTGAGCTTTTCATAGCTCTGTCAGAGCCCTGGGTTCAGGCAAAGCCGCGTGGACCTGCACTGCAGGGCCCAAGCCCCGGCAGTCTCAAGTCGTGGCGGGATTGTCATGCAGGAAGTCATTCTGTGCCCTTGTGATGGCGTTTATCATGGCTTCTCAAGCCTCCCCTCCAGAGGATCCCATCCCCGACCCCCTGATGTTCACAGTGGCCCTCAGCTGGACCGGGGGTGTGAGACAGGGTGGCTCTGGGCTTGGCATTTGGGTGGCCTTGAGCCTTCCTGCGGTTTCCACGCTCTGAGGCTGCTGTGTTTTGGAAGCCCCGACCGTTGGTGTGCAGCTCAGGTCCCCATCACCCACCTGCTCCTGCTTGTCCCTCTCTGTCCTGCTGTGCCGCAGTTTGGCATTAAATGCACTCCCTGGCCACTCGAGCGTGTGCAAATGGACGCCTTTATTTTAAAAACAAACAAAACCAGCAGTTTGCTGCCCCCGAGTGCTGGAGTGTTTGTCGGCAAGTCCTCTGGAGGTTCCCAGTGTCCGTTCCCCTACACCTTGGCTCACAGCCCCACACAGGGTGTTTTTCTTTTTTTCTTTGTCTTTGATATTAGAGATTAAGTCCAGGGCCTTTGCACTGAGCTATGTCTCCAGGTCCCCCCGCCCCAGCTTTTTTGTAAGTATTTTTTGAGATAGAGTCTCTTTAAGTAGCTAAGTTGCCCAGGCTGGGTTGAAACGTGTAACCCTCCTGCCTCAGCCTCCTAGAGTGCAAGCATTGTAAGTGTACACCACTGTGCCCAGCTTCACAGCCTATTTATGTCTGCTGAGCTCTAGCTGTGGTGCTCCCTGGGCCTTTCCCCAGCCAGAGCCCAGTCGACACCTTTCGGTCACCTTCTGGGACTCCTGGGACGGCACTGGGTGACAAGAATGTGTCATCTCCCAGTCCTGGAGGCTGGAAGTCCTGGCTGGAGGTGTCCACAGGGTCAGCTCCTCCCTGCAAGGAAGGGGCTGCCCTGCCTCGACCCTGTCCTTCCCAGCATGCCTGAGTCCAGGTCGCCCTTATAGCAGGACTTATTGGATTAGGCACATCCAGCAACCTCCTTTAATCGCCTTTCGGAGGCCTCATCTCCACACTTGTGAAGTCCTGGGGGTAGGGCTTGTGCACATCTACCACAAGGACGCAGTGCAGCCCCACGGAGTCACAGGGTGGGACGAGTGTCAGGCCCCGCAGGAGAGACCGTGCCGGGCAGGGGGCGCCACCGCACTGCAGAGATGTTTCCATCACCTCTGCTGTGTGCTTCGTGACGGGCTTACTTCCGGTGGGAAAGCCTGGTAAGGTCTGCCCGGACGGTGGACTGGTTGCCACCCGGATCTGGGGAGCCTCGGGGCATTGGAGGGGTCTGTGTACCTGGGGATGCGCACTGCCCTTTTATTTATTTATTTTTGTGGTACAGTGCTAGGAACTGAACACAGTGCCTTCATGAGCTACATTCCCTAGCCCTTCATTTTTTATTTTTGAGAGACAGGGTCCTCCCTAAATTGCTGAACTGTCCAGACTAGACTCGAACTTGCATTTCTCCTGCCTCAGCCTCCCAGAGTGCTGGGATTACAGGTATGTGCCACCGCACCTGGCTAAGTACCAGCCTTTCTAAAAATAATGTGGGTGTTTCAAAATCCTGCCCAGAGCCAGCGATGCAGCAATTGCTCAACAAGGGCTGGGTCCTCTGGCAGTAGGGGCAGGTATCTGCGTCTTCCTGGTAACTGCTCAAGGGGCTGGGTGCAGCTTGGCCAGCACCGTGAAGGAGTGAAAGATCCGCAGATCTGCTGTGGTAGCAATTGGCAGCTTCTGCAGACCAAGGGAGACAGTGGTGTGGAGTCCTTCTCCAGCGTAGCCTCCAGGAAGTGCATTTCCTCTTCCTCATCCTCCACAGCCTCCAAACCTTGGGGTGAGATGAGGTTTGCATGCTAAGTGGGATTTAAGGAAGAAGCAGGTTTGATGTTGGGTGGTGCGGCGGCTACTCCTTTGGGTAGAGCAAAGGCTTCCGGGGAAGGAGCACAGCAAGCGGTGGCTCCTGTGGGTTCGCCTCCCCTGCACTGTCTCCCCTCTGTCCTCTGCTGTTTGACCTCCAGCGGGTAGGCTCTGCCCTCCCTGCAGTTTCTGAAGCCCTACCACCAAGAAGCCTCCCTTCTCGTGTCCTGACAAAAGCCTGGGATTGAGTCTGTCCCAGGCCACTGCTGCGGCACCGAGACCCCAAGGCGAGACGCTTGGGCGTGGGTCTGTTTTGCGGCTGCTTTAGACTTGGGGAGGGGGCTGTCAGGGATGCCAGAGGCAGGAGACCCAGCAGCGTGCAGGTGGGCGGGCTGGCCCTCAGCTAACCTACTGATGGGCATGTGGGCACCTTCGACAGAACCCTCAGTGTTCAGGGCAGATAGAGCTTCACTAACCAGAGGTTCTTCTCACAGAACAAACGGAGCAACTGGAATTCCTCTCGGCCTCTGCTGCTGCTAGTCCTGCTGCCCCCCTGCCAGTGCAGGCCTTCCCACCAGGCCCAGAGATGCCCCAGCATGTGGTGGGAGACAAGCGCTTTGCCCCAATGCCCCAGCTCCTCTTCGGCAGCATGCCCCTGGCGGTTGAAAATGGGCTAGACCACAGCCCTCTGGGCAGCAGGGCCTCCCCTGGCTCTGAGAGCGCTGCCACCCTTGGCTCCCTGGACTCCTGCAGCCGGCCCCTGTGCCAACCCCGGGCAGAGAAGCACAGCTGCCAGGCGGCTCCAGAGGTGCAGTACGTTTCAACGGGGCCCCAGGACACAGCATGTGGCTGGCGGGGCTTTGCGCCCGAGTGTCTGCAGGTCTTCAACACCCCCAAGGGCTTCCTGCTCTTCCTGTGCGCAGCCTCCTTCCTGCAGGGCATGACGGTGAACGGCTTCATCAACACCGTCATCACCTCCATCGAGCGGCGCTATGACCTGCACAGCTACCAGAGCGGGCTTATCGCCAGCTCCTACGACATTGCGGCCTGCCTCTGCCTTACCTTCGTCAGCTACTACGGGGGCAATGGACACAAGCCACGCTGGCTGGGCTGGGGCGTGCTGGTCCTGGGCGCCGGCTCGCTGGTGTTTGCGCTGCCCCACTTCATCTCTGGCCGCTACGAGGTGGAGGTGGACGAGGGGGTGGGGATGTGCCCAGCCAACCGGAGTGTGGTGTGTGCGGACAGCGTCTCGAGCCTGTCCCACTACCGGCTGGTCTTCATGCTGGGCCAGTTCCTGCATGGCGTGGGTGCCACACCGCTCTACACACTGGGTGTCACCTACCTGGACGAGAATGTCAAGTCCAGCTACTCGCCCGTCTACATTGGTGAGTGGAAGGGGCTGGAGTGGGGGCAGAGGGCAGAGGGAGAGAGTGACAGCAGCTGGCCCTAAGCGGTGCCCTTTGACCTGTCCCTGTGCACGTGGCCCAGGTGCCCACACCCGAGAGGGCAGCTGCACTGAAGGAGGTGGAAGTGAGGCCACCTTTCTTATAAAGCCCCCAGGGCCTCTGGGCCTGCGTGCTGGGAACACCAGCATGGCTCCTGCTCCTCTCCGGGGGCTCCAGGGGCAGCAGTGAGATCCGGTGAGCCAGCTGCAGACAGGAGGGCCCAGGGCCCCGGCCAGGCCGTGTCTCCCTACTAGCCCCATATCTGCGGTGCGTCTGGCCACATGGGCTGGCAAATAGGGGGAACTCAGAAGAGAGTCAAGAGCTCGAGGCAAAAATACAAAACTGCTCAAGTTCTTCACTGTCATCTGAGATCCGCACACAGTGTGCTGCCCAGCCCGAGGCTCCGGGCTCTCGGCTCCAGCCCCCTGGCACTGGGACAGCGGGGAGTCCCACAGGTCTCGAGGGATCTGCTGTGTCCTTTGGGGGCCTTGCCCTCCTGCTTGGCCGGCCACGCCTTCTTTTCCTTGCCCCTCTCGCTGGCTCGGCTGTCCTGGCAGAGTCAGCTGCAGAACGAAGAGCCGGCAGCACTTCCAGGCCAGACTTGTGGTTACGACCACAGCTTCCCCATTCACCTAGTGGTTGACATGCTGGGGACCAGGGAGTCATGTCCTTCAGCAGGGGGACACCCCAGGTGAGGGGTGCCGCAGGGAGGCTGGGCTGAGGGGTGCAGGGCGTCCCTGGCCCCTTTCCCCGCTCTCACCCCACTTCTCCCAGTGTGAGGCTGTGGAGCTGCAGGGATGCTGCCTCACCACGCACACTGGGCCGTGGGACCTTCGTTCTCTCGAGGTCTCGTGACCTCGGTGTCCACTTTGCAGAAATTTTGAAAAGTTGACGCCACCTGGATGTCAGACCTGGCACAGGCCAGAGAGGCCTCAGTGTGGCGCAGATGGGCACAGAAACATGGGTACAGGGGCTCCTTGGAGGCTGACCGCTGGGTGGCTCGTGGTGACAGCCCCTCTGCTTGCCTTGCAGCCGTCTTTTACACGGCGGCCATCCTGGGCCCTGCTGCTGGTTACCTGATTGGCGGCACCATGCTGAATGTCTATGTGGAACTGGGCCACCGGTGAGTGACTGGGGGTCGTCCCGCCTGTCTCGGGTCTGAGGGTCCCATGGGTCCCTGAAAAGTGTTTCTGACACAGCAGAGTCCTTGGTGCAAGGAGCAGGTTCTTGGCCTGGCTGAGCAGGAGGAATCCACGGCTGCCCCTGGCGCGAGGGCCTTGGGAACGGGTAGGGCAGAGGGACCCCCTGCCCCAGGCTTCAGAAGCCCTGGCCGTGATTTCTCTAATGCTCTTCGCTTTGTGGTTTTTCCTACTGCCAGCAAGAGATTCTTCTGTGTCTTTCATTTTCTTAGGCCTTTTGTTTGTGATACCAGATTTTTGTAAGTTTAAGCAGGAGAGTGAGGAAGTGGGAGAGAAGGAGGGGACGAGAGAAGGGGGAGGGGCAGGAGCAGGCGCTCATCATCCCCCCCCTCCTGCCACTGTGGCTGTGGCCCCTCCCTCACACACACATGCACGCAGAGGGCAGCTCTCTTTCCGCTCTCCCGGCCGCTACACCTTGGGACTCTCTCTGCAGATGGCGCCCCCGCCGAGATTTCTAGCGCTCTGCCTTCTCAGAAAAGCCACTTCTGGCCCCGGGTTGATAACGTGGGGTCAAGTGCGCTCGTTCTGTGCAGAGGCTGGAGGTAGGTCCGGGCTCTCGCCCCTGGATCGGATCGGGAGGCTGCTCTGGCTGCCCGTGGCACCCTCGGGCTCTGGGGCCTGGGTCCACCTTGCTCAGATCAGGGTGGGGCGGGGGTGGGGTGGGGAGAAGAGGGAGTTCCCGCCTTGGAGGCCACGATGGCCCGTTTCTGTGCTAGAACAGGAGGGAGCAGCTGCCGCCGCCACCTGGCTGCTGTCCTGGGTCACTGCGTCCCTCCCATCCCTCTTGGCCGCCTGTGAGCCAGGGCCTCCCTCCTGCCTCCCTGGGACGGTCCAGCCCTGGAGGCCAGCGCTCTGCAAGCTGCTGCCTGTCTGATGAGTCCTTCTCCCCCTGTGATCTGAGAGCGTGCTCCTGTGCAGATTGCTGACACACTTCTAACGATCCTTTGGCGGGAGCTCAGTGCACTCCAGCTGAGCCTCTGTCCTGAGCTCCACGGGGGCCCCGGTCCCCCGCTGTCATCCTCTGTGTGGCTACTGATGCCTGGGGAGCCTGCTGCTCTAGGCTCTGACCTGTGGAGATCTCAGTCTGAGCACCAGGCCCCGTGAACAGGCCGGGGTGTGGAGCCTACTGTCCTGGGTGTCCAAGCCAGAGGACTGCCCACTTCATTCTGCAGGAAAGGGTGGGGCGGCTGCAGGCCTGTGGACCGATGTGCTCACAACCCTGGAGGTTTTGTCAGGGGAGGAGCCAGGCAGTCACCGTGTGTGTGTGTGTGTGTGTGTGTGTGTGTGTGTGTGTGTGCGCGCGCACGCGCGCGTGCCCTCGCACATGCTCATGGTGTATTTGTGCACCCAACTGAGGGGCCAATTCAGTGGGCCAGCTGATGACGGAGTGCCACTGCCTCTTCCTGCAGGACGCGCTTGACCCCTGAGAGCCCGCTGTGGGTTGGTGCCTGGTGGATTGGCTTCCTGGGTGCGGGGGTGACAGCCTTGCTCATTGCTGTCCCCATCCTTGGCTACCCCCAGCAGCTGCCAGGTGGGTTTTCCTGCCCCAGCCCAGCTGTCCCCTTGGGGAGGCCAGACTCCTTGTCCCTTCCCTTCTCCTCACTTCGACCAATGAGGAACGAGGCCAGTCTGAGCCTCCCCAAGGTGCCGAGCGATGGCAGGGCAGCCTGACCGGCCGTGGACGCCATCTGGTCCCTGCTCCCCGCCTGCAGGCGGGCAGCCAGGGCAGGGCCCTTCTTCCTCCCTGCTGAGGCCCTCCTTGCTGCCTGGCTCTCACATCTCACCTCACCCCGCACTTGTGCTTGGGTGGCCGAGGGGGTGTCCCCAACCCAGGAGGGGCCTGCAAGCCACTGCCCCCTGGAGCCTGAGGGCCCCGCTGATTGACCGTCCCCCTAGGCTCCCAGCGCTATGTCGTCATGAAAGCAGCAGAGACGCAACAACTGAAAGACCATGGCCACAGAACAGCAAGCAGCCCGGCCTTCGGGAAGACCGTCCGAGACCTGCCACTGTAAGGACCCGGGTGGGGTCCCAGCCCCGTGTGGAGGGCAGGGCAGCCCCAACAGGGCTGGGTGAGCCCATAACTGCTAACCGGTTTCATGACCTACCGGCCCCTGAAATATGGGCAGCATGGCCTCCATCTGGCCTGGGCCACAGAGCGAGTGAAGCAGGAGCCACCAGGGTTGTAGGACGGGCAGGGTCTTAGCCACGTCAGCCCATCCCAAGGTCCCCACAGCCCCGGAGCAAGTCCGTTCCACACCAGCAAGCTTCCTAACCCTGGCTGTGTGCCCCAAGGTACCCGGGAGGCTGCCCTGAGCCTGGGACACCCACCTGCTGCCCTTCCACTGGGCATTAGCCTTGGGTTTGCCACGGAGCTCTGGGCTGGTGCCCTCCTGCCCCTCCCAGGCCCTTTTAGGCCCACAAGAAGCCCCTCTTCCCTCTGCCCCACTCACCCACCTCACCCGCACGCTCCTGCGTCCCTGTGCTGTTTCCTGGGTCATGGTCCCCACTGCATCCCTCTCTGGTTGCCCATCGCCTGGCCTGGCCTCAGCTGCTGAGGTCCTAGAGAGATGGCTTGGAGCCTAGGGGCCCTTGGTGCCCAGGGTCCTGTCCTCACAGGACTGCGCATCCCAAGGGACTGCCCACAGGGCTGGGCCATAGGCCTTGAGTGGCCACCTGGAGTCCTCAGCCCCTGGGACCCTGTGCAGTGCTTCCTTTTGTGGATGGTGGCATCTAACTGACCCTGTGGAGGCAGAAGCTGGAGGTGCTAGGGATGAATCCCCATGCCTGTCCTCAACTCAGGCGAGGAGGGAGAGGCGAAGGGTGGCTCCACAGAGAGCCCCTGAGCTGAAGAGGAGCAGGGCTGGCCCCCAAGGTCTGACCTAGAGCTTTGTGCTTTCACTGTCACCTAGGAGAGGTGAAGAGCGGGGGACTCCATGGTAGAGGGGGTGTAGGGGTGTCGGACCTGCTCAGAGCCAAGGACCAGCAGTCAGCTCACTGCTCGCAGCACGAGCCTCAGCCAGCACGGAGGTGGAGCCTGGGTCTCTTGTGTTGTCTCGGGGACAAGAAGCTGATTCCAGGTTTGGTCCCCACACCAGTCGCTGGTAGCGAACAAGAGCTGAAACACATGCCCTGCACTAAAACCGTGGTTGGTTCTCTGGGTGATGTCAGCAGAGCGCTCTGGCTGAGAAACCAGGAAGTCTGCGTTCTGTCAGACAGCGTCACCTTCATCCCTATGCATCAGCCCGGAGCCAGGCGGGCAGGGCGGACCCTGGGCAGGGACCATCGGGCATCATCCACCCGGCCCACATCGCAGCGCCGGCCGAGAAGGGCCCAGCCCAGCCGGCGCCTGCTGCAGGACAGGGTTTGCTCCAGCGTCTTTCCTTGCTGAGCCCTGGAGCCCTGCGGTTGGCCAGAGAGACTGGCTTTTAACCTGAAGCCAGCAAGTAAATCCTAAAGGATTAGGTGCTCCCACTGGGATCAGGACACGGAGCAAGGGGCCCTGTGACGGACGGTGCCGCTTTGGAACGGTCTGACTGCCGCAGCGACTGCCCCACGCTGTCCGCTTCTGGGAAGTGGGCAGGCGGCCTTCCCTAGCAGCTGTCCCTGCTCCTGGTGTTTCAGAAGTGTCCAGATGTGCAGAGCCACCCTGACAGATGCTCTGCATTCTTATGTGCCTAGACTTGGGGAGGATGTCACTCCGGATGGCTGGCGGGGTCCCTTTAACCAGTTCTCAGGACAGATGCAGGAAGCACACAGACACTCCTCCTTCTGCCCATGAAACTGCGCTAAGAGCCAAAAATGGTGGTGCACACCTGTAATCCCAGCACTCTGGGAAGCTGAGGCAGGAGGATCACAAGTTCAGGCCCAGTTTGGGCAACTTAGTGACTTAGTGAGACCCTGTCTCAAAATAAAAATGTGAGGATGTAGCTTAGTGTGAAAGTCCTGGGTTCAATCCCTAGTAACCCCCCCCACACACACACACACACACAGGGGGAGCCACAGCAACACCAAGTATGTAAGCAAAGGGTGTTTCAAAGCCCATCCTGGGAGCCAGCCTTTCATCACCAAATCGAGAAGCAAGTGGTGTTCCTGTCAGTAGCAGCAGGCAGCACATTATGCCGTGAGCCACCTGGGAAGGGGCTCTGCCCTCTCGACCCAGGACTTCTGGGCACAGAGAAGTGACTGAGCACGTCTGCAGCCACCTGTGCCGGGGACCAGCCCTCCTGGGGGACAGAGAGGCCCCCTCTGGGCATTCACATCCCCCAGGTCCAGCTGGCTGTGACTTGTGTGTTTCCGGTTCTCAGCTCTGCCTCCTCACCCTGCTGTGGGCTCTCCGGTGCTTTCTGCCGTTGGCCTGGCCAGCAGCCCTGGGGGTGTGACAGACCCCACGCTGTGGGCGGCCGCTCAGAGCACAGTGCTCAGCGCCTTGGGCTGACCCTCAGGTCTGTACCCCAGCTACCTGGTGTGGCCCTGGGGAGCAGGTTGGCCCTCCCCTGGCTGAAGCTGGGGGTGTGACGGGACGCCTTCCTCAGCCCAGTCCAGAAACCACTGGAAGTGAGAGTTGCCCCAGTACCCCAGGGCCCAGGGGGCGCGGGCATCCCGGGTCTCAGAGGGAAGGTCCAGACCGGGAGTTAGCAGCTGCGTCTGACCAAGTGTGAGCCAGGGAAAGCTGGGGAGCCCGCCAAGCCCCCTCAGGGCTCCTCGCAAGTCCCCTGGGTCCAGGTCCCCGTGTCCTGCTCCCTGCTTTTTCCTGGGTGGTGGCTGAGAACTGGTCCCATCTTGGTGACCCTGGGCCCTGCCCTGCCCTGCCCTGCCCTGCCCTGCAGGTCCCTCCAGCCTTTCACAGGCCTCTGCCAACGGTGATGGCGGCCACCGTTGGCAGAGGCAGTCAGCTGGGGGTGTGACGGGACGCCTTCCTCTGGAGGCAGTCAGCCCAGGCCTCGGGTCGCTTGAGGTCCTGGCCCTGTGGAAGCCAGGAGTCTGGCTGTGGTGCTGATCAGTGGTGGGATCGGCTTTAGTAGCTTCCGGGGCAGGTTGTCGGAGTCCAGACTGAGGCTGCCGGTCCCCACCTGCACCCCCAGTTTCTCTGGAATGTGTGAGGTGCCTCTCACTCGCTGCGCCCACTTCACCGCCCTCTCAGAACGGGGGTCCTCGTGCTCAGCTGCTCTGACCGCTGTCTCCTCTGCCTCCGCCCCCTCCCTGTCCAGCTCCATCTGGCTGCTCCTGAAGAACCCCACGTTCATCCTGCTCTGTCTGGCGGGGGCCACCGAGGCCACGCTCATTGCCAGCATGTCCACGTTTGGCCCCAAGTTCTTCGAGGCCCAGTTCAGCCTCAGTGCCTCGGAAGCTGCCTCTCTGTTTGGTGAGAAAGCTCTGGATCCTGGGGTGCTTTCACCTGGATGGGAGGGGCAGCCTGGGGCCCAGCGGAGGGTCCCTCCCAAGCCCGTGCCCCTGGGGGCGGGGCGGGGCGGGGCGGACCCCACCTGTGCACTGGTCCCATGCCTCGTTGGGAGCTGGGGGTCAGGGCCCACACTGGGCTCAGCGTGTGGACTTTGGTCAGTGCTGTACCACTGTGGTGGCATCCGTGAGGCACCCACCCTTTCCTGAACACCGTCCTCGCAGCCCCCTGGGCTGACCTGCACATCCCACCCACCCGTGACAGCTCCCTCTGCTCTCAGCCCCTCTCCTCTGAGCCCTTCCTCCTCTCTTCAGCCCTGGGGTCTTCAGCGTGGCCTCCTCAGAAAGCCTTGCTGCCTCCTGTTCTGACCCTTTGCTGTGAACGTGGGGGGCCACAGCCCAGTCTGCACTTCATGGGGGGTTGCAGGCATCCGTAGGGCCCATCACAGCTGCTGCACGGATGCAGCAGGCCCTGACAGCTGTGGGTGCCCCCTCTGGGCCCACGCTCTCCGCTGTGTCCAAGCTCTCAGGCTCCCCCTACAGGCCCAAGTGGAGGCTTCCACAGTGGCCGTGCCTGAGAGCCGCTTAGGTGCTGCCCCGTGGACGGGGACTGGACTCTGGTCTCTCTGGGCCTGTTTCCCACCTGTAAACTAGGGTGTAAGGCCAGCCGGTCCCCTCCTCGAACTCACGGCACCCCTCCCCTAGGGTACCTGGTTGTGCCGGCGGGCGGTGGTGGCACCCTCCTGGGCGGCTTCCTGGTGAACAGGTTCAAACTCCGAGGCCCAGGGATTATCAGGTTCTGCCTGCTCTGCACGCTGACCAGCCTGCTCGCCTTCTTTGTCTTCCTCACGCACTGCCCTAACGTGCCTGTGGCGGGCGTGACGACCGGCTACAACGGCAGGTAAGGGCTGGGCAGGGGCGCCCCACCTGCCGGGCACTGGCAGTCCCGGGAGGGGTGGTGTTTGGAGGCACTGCCCTGAGGAATGCCACGGCCCTCCCTGGGCCTCAGTCTCCTCTGCAAATGGAGCAACAGCCACGGCTCAGGGTCGTCGTGCCGACAGGAAACGTCCAGACACTAACTGGGTGTGCTGCGGTGTGGCGGGAACGAAGGGGCGGGCCCATCAGGTGGCAGCTGGGGAGGGTCAGACGCATGGGAGCTGCCCCTCCAGCCCGGGGCTCCTGGGAGCTCTCGGCTGCACCAGGGAGACCAGGAGGTGCTGAGAGGCCACCGTGGCTTGGTCTGCAGCAGCAGCCGCAGTGGCAGGGAAGGAGGAGGCGTCTGGAGGGAGGGCTGACCGCTCCACGTGCCTTCCCACGGCAGGGGCGACTCAGAGACACATCCGTGGGGAAGAGGGAGGAGCAGAGGGTGGGGTGCAGTGTCCTTCCTCTGGGCGGAGGGGGACCCAGACCTGTGACTGCTGATGTGCTGTCCAATTACCTGCAACACGCAGCGGGGCCACGCTGGGGGCTGGGCGGGGCTGCAGGTGTTGTCGTGCCGGTACGCTTTCCTACCGTGCCTTTTGGGCCATGTGAATTCAGTTTCTGTAGTTAAAAAAAAAAAGAAGAAGAAAGACGGAAAGAGAGAGAAAAAGAAAAACGAAACCAAGCAACACTGGAGCGTGTGGGCCATGGGCAGAGGAGCGGTAGAAGTAGATGTGAGCGTGGACTCAGGCGATGCTTAGTGTGCCTGGCGGGCGCCAGCTTGGCAGGTGGCAGACCCCAGCTGTGGGCCCAGGCGGAAGGAGGCCTGAGGCGGTCCTGGTGCCGCCTGCCTCTGGCCACTGTCCCACCACCACTTGTGTCCCCAGCCTCCAGCCCGAAGGCCACCTGAACCTGACGGCCGCCTGCAACGCCCACTGCAGCTGCCCGCCGGAGGTCTACAGCCCCGTGTGTGACTCGAGCAACACCATGTACTACTCTCCCTGCCACGCGGGGTGCCAGCAGGCCGACCCGGCCGACCAGAAGGTGAGCGCGGCTGCTCCCGCGGCCAGGCCCGTCCCTGGACCTGGGCAGGGCCCGTGCCTTCCTCCTGTGATCAGCGCTGTTATTGGGCTCCTCAGGTGTACCAAGGCTGTAGCTGTGTCCCTACGAGTTTGCGCAATGTCACTGCAGGGAAATGCACCTCAGCTTGTCAGAGAAAGCCCCTCCTTCTGGTTCTCGTGTTCGTTGTAATTACCTTTACGTTCCTCAGCAGCATTCCTGCGCTGACGGCGACTCTACGGTAAGCGTGGCCGCTCTGCTCCGCCAGCGCCTTCTCTTGCAGCACTGACCGGTGGCGCCCGTGGACCGTGGGGCGTGCGGGGTGTCTGGTGGCAGGAGGCGCTGCCGTCCCTGGCCTCTGGCAGGATGCTTGCCACCGGGGGAGGTGGTGGTGCTGTGCTCTGCTGTGGGTGTGACACGGCCGGCCGGCCAGCCCCCCAACACTGCCGCTTTCCGTCGCAGGTGTGTCGGTGACCGGCAGAGGTCCTTTGCCCTAGGAATCCAGTGGATCGTAGTCAGGACCCTAGGTACTGTGCCGTGTGAGGAAGCCGTGGAGAGGTGTGCAGTGTGTTCTCTGCACCAGGGCATGGGAGATACCTTCTCCCTAAGCTGGCGGGACTGCCGCCCAGGGAAGGGCGCCACCCCAAAATTGTCCACTAGGGGGCGAGTTGTCACTTGTGCCTCCTAAACCAGTCTCAGACCTGAGGCTGTCCCAGCCCTGATGCCAAGAGCCCAGGGATGGCACCACTTCAGCCCCTTTGCACCCACTGGGAACCCTGATGGCCAGTGTTGCCTGACTGGGGACCCACGCATCCCTGCCCCCTGCTGCCCTTGCCCCCACAGGGTGCTGAGAAGCCCTCTCCTTGTAGGCAGCATCCCGGGACCCATCGCCTTCGGCTGGGTGATCGACAAGGCCTGCCTGCTGTGGCAAGACCAGTGCGGGCAGCAGGGCTCCTGCTTCGTGTACCAGAACGCAGCCATGAGCCGCTACATGCTCATCGTGGGGCTCGCCTACAAGGTAGGGCCCGTGGGAGCTGGGGAGCAGAGGGCAGGCTCTTCTCCAGTGGGCTTGGGGCTCCCGGGTGGGACACACCACGGGCCTCAGTGTCACGGCCATTCCTGAGGCTCAGTGACCAGAGGGGCTGGTGGCTGGGACTCCGAGGATGCGACCCATCCGGAGGGTGCTGGGTCCCCTGCTGGGGATGAGCCCTAGCAGCACCCTGGCTGGCCGCCTGGGGGTCAGAGCAGCCTCCTTTTCTGCCTGCTGCCCACCCCTGAGTGGTTGGAGAGAGCCTCTGAGACGCTGGCAGGAGTGGCCTGGGCCTGCGCCGTCCAGGCGGGTCTGCGGGGGTGGCGATGGTCACACGGCCTCAGTCTGCGGGGTACAGTTTCTCAAGAGAAGCGTGCTGCTGTGACTCTTGACCCAGGCTACCTGGGAGACGCAGGCTGTTTGTATCCCACTGGAGGGGAAGCACAGAGCCTTTTGTGGGAGGTGAAATCTAGGTGGTGGATCCTAGGATCTGAGTTCTAAACTGGGAGCTTGTGGCCCCAGGCTCTTGTTAAAGGCCGAAGCTGCCACCTCAGAGGTTCCTCCCCCGCTGCGCGCGCTTTATCCCCCTGGGATTAGTTTAAAAATAGGCAAGGGATTAGCATGGTTCCCGAAAGAGCAGTGGTTCAAAGCAACAGACCTGCTCCCAGGGAGCTGCCTCTTGGTTCCCTTTCCTGAGCCGGATGCTTGCAGGCTTCAGAGGCCCTGGTGTGGGTGTTAATCTAGACGCGGGCACGGACAGACCTCTTCCCCCGGCCCGGGCCTCTGATCCTGGGCAGCAAGTGGAAACGGCCCATGACTTGGCCGCAGCCCTGGAGCGCAGCAGGTGTCGCACCGCCCACGTGCACGCAAGCGCTCTGCGTGCACACAGGCCGCTGTGGCTGTGCCGACAAGGCGTGCATGCCGTGGCTGCTGTCCCTCATAGCTCTACGAGGTCAGTGCAACCCCAGGCTGCAGGGAGAGAAACTGAGGCTGAAAGGTTAAGAAGCCGCCCTGAGGATGTCAGGCAGAGGCCCTGGCTCGGCTCTGTGGTGCCCTAACAAAGCTCCACCATGGAAGGGCCTGAAATAGCAGAACCTCTGCTCCTATTTCACTGGTGCCACTCCCGCTTCAGAGGTGGCTAGGCAGAGTGTGTGTGTGAGTGTGAGTGTGAGTGTGTGATGGACGCTCACAGCAGCCTCTGCTGTCTTCTCACAACCACCCCCTCGCGCCCCTAGGCTACCTTCTCCCTTTCTTTTATAAGGACAGTAGTTGGATTTAGGGCCACCTTGAACCCAGGATAACCTTATCTTGAGATGAAGACCTTTAGCGTAATTAGATCTTTTGTTGGCTTGTTTGTTTTTTTTGGGTACCAGGAATCGAACTCACGACCTTGCGCTTATCAGGCAGACGCTGCTGTGCCGCTGAGCTAAATCCCCAGCCCCCGTAATTAGATCTTTAGTGTAATCAGATCTTTAGCGTAATTAGATCTTTTTTGTTTGTCTGTTTGTTTTCGGGTACCAGGAATCGAACTCACGACCTTGCGTTTGCCAGGCAGATGCTGTGCCGCTGAGCTAAATCCCCAGCCTCTGTAATTAGATCTTTAGTGTAATCAGATCTTTAGCGTAATTATGTCTACAAAGACCCTACCTCCGAGTGGGTCTTCATCCCAGGTTCCCAGGCGAAGGCCTTGCACACATCTTTTGGGGGAGACATGCTCAACCGTGACCCACTCACACTGCCTCTGCTTTGAGACAAGCACTAGTTTCATTCTCTCATTAAAATTCTGGGTCCAGGTTCTGTGGGGACCATGTTTCTTGGCCGCAGATTGGGTTGGGTTCCAGGGACCTCATGAGAAGGGGACTCCAGGGCCGGTGAGGTCTAGCAGGCTTCTCCTATGTTCCCAGGTGCTGGGCTTCCTCTTCTTTGCCACTGCCTACTTCCTGTACAGACCTCCGTCCGGGTCCTCAGATGGCCTGGAAGCCTCTCTACCCAGCCAGTCCTCGGCCTCAGAAAGCCCCACGGACCTCCAGCTCCAGAGCGATGTCTGACCTCCGCCAGCTCAGGGACTCCCAGCCCTCCCGGAGCTGCAGCACCCTCCGCACTGTCTTGGGTCTTGGAAAGGCTGACCTCTCACCTAGGCCACAGTACTGGGGACCTGTGGGAGACCTTGCACTGGACTCTGGGGCCTGCAGAGCCACCCCAAGGTGCAGCTGAGCCAGGGGTTGTAGGGGTCAGAGGCTCAAGGCACTGAGAAATCACACCAGGCATTTTTGAAATGGATACGCCCCTCCCAGCCCCAGCACCTCTGAGGATCTGTCCTGTCCCGAGGGCTGCCTGCCTGACCTGACTTCCCCTGTCGCTTCTAAATCGCCAGTACTGCAAGAGAGAGAGAGAGAGACAGACACAGAACGTGTTTATACCCGATCATGCAGTGTGTGTCGGGCAAACTTGAGCGAGACCTGTGACTCTTACCTGGCAGGTGCCAGTCTGTCCTGGGACAGTATGTTTCCGTGTCCTCAGTCAAGGTTGTCCGTGTGTAAATATATTTTAATATTTAAAGCTCACGCCCTTGTACAGTGTGTTTTCTTTTTGTGAATCCGCAAAGTCTGGCTTTGCCCGTCTTTCACAGGGTTGTGAGGCGGCAGGCTGGCCCTGGTGCTGACCCGGCCCCTGGTTCTTCCCAGTGGGCGTCCCTCCTGTCCCCTCCCCTCGTGACTAGAGAGCAGCAGCGGAGGCGCAGGGCTCCCGCACCCTGGTCTGGCAGGGACAGTTCTCAGCTGTGACCTGCCCTCGGCCTCCCCCACTTCTGTGAGTGACCTGGGGGGCATCTGCACGTTGGCATGCAGTGCCCAACAGTACTGCAGGAGCTCGTGGCGGGCATGTCAGCCCAGCAGTGGTGGAGAGGGCGCCATGCAAGTTCTTCTCCAGCTGACACATGAGTGCAGAGCTTGGCAGGAAGCACCTCCAAAGGCAAGAAGCAGGAGAGTGCCTGGGCACTTCGGCTGCACCGCACAGGGCAGTCGGGGAGGCTTCCAGAGGAAGGGACATCGGCGCTGAGACTTGAGAGGCGGAACAAGCATTTTAGCAAGTGCAAAGGCCCTGAGCAGCAGCAAGGCCCAACGGCTGGCAAGAGCAGCCCATGGTGATGGGACAGGCACTGTCTGCTCTGAGCCCTGGTGAAAATAAAGGCTTTGGTTGCATGGAAAGTTAAAATCTTTAGGAACAAAATGGGTCAGAGCCTCGGTAAGCTGGACCTGGGTAGGGTTGGGACCAGGCCAGCGTTTTCCCACTTTGTTCCCAGTTGTGGTCGCTCCTGGGTTCTTGTCACCCACCTTCTTCCTCCACATGCAGTCTGATTTGTGTAGGAAGTGTCCCCTGGGCACTGAGGGCTTGAGCCCCCCGGCAGCAGTGTTCAGAGGGGTCCTGGGTCCCTCGGGCTGCAAGGAATGCTCAGGACCCAGTTGAGCGCCCCTCCCCTGCATTTCCCCATCGTTGCCCCCGGCTGCCTTTGGCTGCCTTTGGCTGACCTGAGCTGAAAAGAAATGAAAGTAAACAGTTGACGTGACTTTATGTGAAATATAAATACATAAAGTAGCTTGTCTCAATTTACATCACCCAGGTTACTGGTGAGGTTTGATAGCTGATCTGGACTGAATTGTGTCCCCCAAATATGTCAAAGCCCCTCTGGATCTATATTTAGAGATGGTCCTGCAGAGGGCCTGAGGGTCTCAGGGCACAAGGAAGCCCTGGCCTGCTAGGATTAGCTTTCCTGTAAGAAGAGAGTCCAGAGCTCAGGCTTCTGCCCCATGAGCCATTGGAAGGGGCCTCAGACACGCCTGCTGTCCAGCCACCTGCCCAGCAGAACGCACACAGCAGCTCTGGCCTTGGCTTCTCTAAGAGCCACCCGGCCGTGCCACTGGGGTGCCCAGTGCCCTGCGTGTCCGGGAAACAGCATCTCTGGCGACTGGTCCCACCCCTACCCATGGCCAGCTTACCGAGGTTTTGATCCATTTTGTTCCCAAAGATTTTAATTTTCATGCAACCAAAGCCTTTGTTTTTACCCAGGGCTCAGGCCCTACATCCAGGAAGGAAGCCTGCTCCTCTTAAATGTTGGGGTCCTGGAGGCCTACCCTCCCCCAGGGACCCCACACGGGCTCTCACCCATGCAGTGTTGCACTGTCCCAGGCTCCCAGGGCTTCCCACCCAGCCCTCCTCAGGGGCCAGCTCCACCTACAGCCCCCACGGCCTCCTCGTCCTGACACCCAGCCCCTCCCCGTCTGTCAAGCCAGCATCAGGGCTCTTTCCTGAGTGCCCCTGGGCGGGTCTCTCCCCCCGACTTCCTGCTGAGGGTCCCACTGGGACAGCTTGGAGACAGTCACTGGGACAGTGAGGCACCCGTGCAGAAAGGCCTGTGTGTCCTGGACCCAGCATTTGGGAGGCACCTCCAAGGCCGTCCAGGGAGATGGTGCAGATCAGGATGTTCCCTGGGGACCCCCAGGTTGAAGGGAGGCGGTGGCTGCACCCTGTATCCAGGCAGCAGGAGAAGGAAGGCCCTGGAGTGGCTCATGTGCCTGCTACTGAGGTCACAGCTGGTCTGCCCAGGGGCATCCTGCCTGTCCCGCTCCTGCAGGTATGAGATTTGGCACCACCTATGGATGAGGTCACCCGGCCCGGGGATGGCCCTTGCACACCACCCGCCACTGTCACCCACGTGGCCTCTTGCTCTGGACCCTGCAGCTCCCCGCACCGCTTCCCCTCCTCGGTCCCGTGCTCCCCAGCCTGGTGAGGGGCAGGAGCAGCAGCAGGTAGCCTGCAGAGGTGGCTAGGGCACAGGGACGGGGACAAATCTGGCTGCAGCAGGCCTGGCTGGCCCTGGCCCCTGGGCTCCATGACACAGCTCCGGTGTGACTCAGCGCAGGGCAGTGCCAGTGTCCCAGCCGTGACTCAGCCCTGCACCTGCAGGGACAGAAACAGGCCCTGCTCATGTCTTCGGGTTTCAGGTGTGTCCTGCCCCGCACATGCATGGACACTGGTCACACCCCAGGTCTGCTCTGCCACGGCCCTGGCTCCCTCCTGTGGCCGGGACGGCCCTCCGGGAGCTCTGGGTCAATGTCTGGCACCCCAGGGAGAAGAGAGTTGCCCCAGGGCTGGCCGGGAGGGAGTCGTCAGCACTGTTCCCAGTGCTTCGCTCAACAGCCAGAAATCACAGCCAGGCAGCGCTGACCTTGTGAACTGGGAAAGGCTTTTCCTTCACTTTTGTTTGAGCTGTCCGTGTCCCTGGTCAGGCCACCTGGTGGTGGGAGAGATCCACCCGCTCCCCACCACAGCAGATGGAAAATGGCGTCACACATTCCCCTCAGCGGTCACTTGCAGGGCAGCTGCGGGCAGTGCTTCTCTGCCTGAGACGGGCTGTCCCTGTGTGTTCCTAAGCGGAGCCCTAAGAGGGAACCCGCCTCCAGAAGTGCCACCCAGCACAGGGCCGCAGGACCTCGCTGTCCTCCCTGAGACTGTGGAAACTGCAGCCCTCAGCCAGGAGCTCGTCAAGGCCGCCAGGCCACACCTACCCTGCTGACGTGGCCACCAGGCCCAGGGCGTTGCTCCCACACAGATCCTGCAGAAGCGTCCCAATCTGTGGGATGAGCTGTGACCTCACACCAAATTGGAAGATGGGATGTTTATGGGCAAAGCCGGCCATCTGCCAGCCATGGGCATAAACAGTTAAGTGACACACACACAGAATTTGAGAGGTAGGCAGGGAAATCCCCAGCCTCTGAGCCAGGCAGACATTAAAGGAAGCGTCAGAATGCCAAGAGCACATCAGACAAGACACTGCCCGGTCTTGCGGTGAGGATCCAATGGCCAGCTGCCCTGTGTGCCCATCTGGCCAGACGAGAGCCAGGGTGGGCTGGGGCAGCTGGGCAGACAGGGAGCAGGTGCCACCAGGTGCTCCGAGCAGTGGGCCTTGGCAGGGTGGGGGTGCAGCTCAGTGTGGGGTCCCCTGGGGAAGGGGACAGTGGTGCCTGGGACAGGCTCAGATCCAGCTGGCGGCCATGGTGAGAAGTCCGAGGGGTTTCTGACCCTGCCTCTTTCTGTGGCTGTGCCTGGGGCAGTGAAAATTGAAGCCTGAGGAGGAAGGAAGCAGATGTTGGGGTGGAGTGAGGATTCACTGCATTTCCACACCTCAGCTCTGCAGGGAGATCACCGAAACCCTGAGCTTTCCCAAGCTGTTCATCAGGCCGCACCTGCCCCCTTGCTGACGGGGCCATCAGGCCCCGTGTGATTGCCAGGCCTCACCAGCCCTCCTGTGTCACCACTGCTGGCCTTGTCCCCTGAGCCCTGCCCCAGGGCTTTTGCACATGTGCTTCCCACTGCGCCCGACATCTGGGCTCTCCCCTCAGCCCGGCTCCCTGAGCGGTGTTGGACCCATTCCTCAGCTGTAGCATTTTCGAGTCCTCTGGCCGCGCTCAAGCATGCTGGACCTGCTCCAAAGTGTCTGTCACCTAACATTTGTGTGATGTCACTCGCTTTGTCCTATCTGTAGCTCATGCAATGCCCTGGGGCGGGAGTCTCTTTTGGTCACCTGTAACAGTGCCTGGCACACAGCTGGCACTCAATAATTGTTTGTAGGACGACAGGTAGGACAGGAGACAGCAGCTCATGTGCCACCCATGACCATGCAGGAGGAGCGGCCGCTGACGGGGGCAAGCCACCCTGCTACCGTGTGCACTTCTTGAAGGACACCCTGGCCATGCCAGTGCTCGCTGGCACCTCCTCGCTGCCCCAGGGTCTCGAGAGCCCCTTGGTAGTCTGAGACTGGGGCCCTGGGTGGGACAGAGGGCAGCCGCTGGGGTGATCCCTGGCGCACGGACCCCTCTATATCAGCAGCGCATTATGAAGGCGAGGCGACAGGTTTTAATGACTGCTGTGTGAATGAGCTCAGCGGGCTCCCACAGTAATTACACTTCTGTTCTGTTTTGTTCATGGCTTGGTCGTTTATTCCAGGCTGTGCTGGGCTTGGGCTGTGGGCTCTCAGGGACCGCTGGGAAGGAGCCCAGACCCAGCTCCTCTGCCAAGCCCCCTTGGGCCGGGCCTGGGACGGCCAGGCCTCAAGTTCTGCATCACTGTCACTTCCTGGGCACCCTGCTCCTGCAGGGAGACGGGATGGTGATGGTGAGGATGGTGGTTCTGGCAAAGGCTAGACTATCAGATGCATCTTGGTGTGCGGTGGCCACACACTCCGCAACCCGCAGTGACCCTCCGGCAGCACACGGGTGCTCTATGTGAGCTTCCCCTGCCTCAGTTTCCATACTCCAAAGCTGGGGCTGATACTGCAGTCTCCGTTTCACTGGGTCTGATAAAGATGAGTGTGCTTGGCCTAGAGCGAATATTCTATCAAATAACTAAAGTCATGTCACCCTTGTTGACATGTAGGACCCTGAATCCCAAGAGCCCAGTGACTGGGGTCAGCCACGTGACACGTGAAGGCTGAGTGACTAGGCGCAGCCCCTCACCCCCACCCCTGCTTTGGAACCTCAGGGAGGTCGCTGGCACCCAGGCCACCGCT